TGTGTCAGGACCTGTGTGTGCAGGACTCAGGGACCTGTGTGTCAGGACCTGTGTGTCAGGACCTGTGTGTGCAGGACTCAGGGACCTGTGTGTCAGGACCTGTGTGTCAGGACCTGTGTGTGCAGGACTCAGGGACCTGTGTGTCAGGACCTGTGTGTCAGGACCTGTGTGTGCAGGACTCAGGGACCTGTGTGTCAGGACCTGTGTGTCAGGACCTGTGTGTGCAGGATGCAGGGAGCTGTGTGTGCAGGACCTGTGTGTCAGAACCTGTGTGTCAGGACCTGTGTGTGCAGGATGCAGGGAGCTGTGTGTGCAGGACCTGTGTGTCAGGACCTGTGTGTCAGGACCTGTGTGTGCAGGATGCAGGGACCTGTGTGTCAGGACCTGTGTGTCAGGACCTGTGTGTCAGGACCTGTGTGTGCAGGATGCAGGGAGCTGTGTGTGCAGGACCTGTGTGTCAGGACCTGTGTGTGCAGGATGCAGGGAGCTGTGTGTGCAGGACCTGTGTGTCAGAACCTGTGTGTGCAGGCAGCAGGACCCAGGACGCATGAGCCAGCAGCTCCCGTTCTCCTGCTACATCACATGTCCTGGCTTTGTCTCTCCAGAGATGCCTCACAGGATCCCAAACAGGGGCAGGGCTGGGAAAAAGTGGAAAATGGGGGAGGGGCTCTTTCTGGCCTGTGTCTCCCTTCCACTCTTGGGATTCGGCCGTGCTTAGGAAACACCTGCAGAGGTGGCTGGCACCTGCTCCATCCGAGGGTGGTCAGAGTCCTCGGCCCCCACCAGGAAGCACGGGAGAAAGTGGAGGAGCTGCGCCAGCACCAGAACGCAGCCCAGACTCGGGCGAGCGACACTGCTTCTCCCTGCAGGCTGAGCCTCAGAATCCACTGGGCACAATCATGGCTGGCTGTGGGTGACGTCGCGGTTGGGGCAGGGGGACAACGGAGGCTCGGGGTCTGGGAGCCAGCACTGTGCCAGAGGCCTGGCCAAGGCCCACCTGGGGTCCCACTAGAACGATGCTGTGTTCTGTTGTGATGGGAATGTGGAGGTCAGACAGAGAACAGAATTCTCCTGTCTTTCCAGCACAATGGAAAATGTGGCTGGGCAGGAGCTGGAGTGTGACGAGCACAGTGGGGCCACAGCACATGCCTGGGCCTGGGGTCAGGAGCAGCGCCTAACTCGGCTCTGGCCTTCGTCAGGGCTGGCCCTCACCACCGCCCTATCTGGAGACGCCCCCAGGAGCACCCCTGCCAGGGTTACAGTTCAGAGGGGGAAAACTGCATCTCCGGGGAAGCTGTGTCGGTCATGCTCCCCAGACATGGAGGCCCCGCATGCGGCGCCTCAGCCACAGGCACGGCCTCCCTGTGCTGCCTTCCACGCCCACAGTCCCAGAGGCTTCTGCTTGCCTGTGTCATGAGACGCATGCACAGACACGTGCGGAAAATCGAGAAGAATCTCTACCGTAAGCCAATGAAAGACTCTCCTAAACATTTCTTACGCAGCTTCCAGTCGGCCCTGAACCCGGCTTGCACGGACCTGCGGCGTCTTGTCGGGGTGTGGGGGATGGAGCCATAGGGTGATGGACTGGGGCTTTTATTTTTCTTGTCCTATCGTTTTAAAGCCTGCTATTAACTAAAGCACCAGTGACCTCCAAAATTGGCCCTCTGCGTCTGAATGGCGACCAGCTGATCAATTTCACCTCCGTCTCCAGGTGCGAGCTAGGCTGACACAGACTCAGAAATGTATTTCATCTTGATTCAGTCAATGTCATTTATCCGTCTCCATTATTTACTTGGATGCCAAGAAGACATCTTAGCTCAGCTACGGCTCCTGGCCCCCAAGCCCTCGCCGGCTTCTGATTGGCTGCCTGGAAGGCGGCGTTCAGAACTTAGCAGCACCCCCAGTCCAAGTTATGAACGAAAAGCAGGGTGGTCGGCTACAGAAGCCATCTAATTAGCCAGGAAGATTTCTGTAAAATGAGTTTGAAATCAATCGATCAATACCGAAACCACTTAGGAAAATGTGAGTATGCTGCCTGTGATCAAGTGGAAGGGAGAGTGGCGCAGGGCTCAGCGTCCTCGGAGCCAGCAGTGTCTGCGTGCAGCCTGGCCCCCTCGCAGCTCTTATCAGAAGTCGCTTCTTTTTCGCTTGGAAGTCAGAGGATGCGGACGACTGTGTCAAGCACAAGGCAGCCCTCAGCCTCTGCAGCCCTGGCGCCTTCACCAGTGGTACACCTGCTTGGGCCAGAGTTTCTGCCCGTACTTGGCTGTCCCTGAAACCATTCCTGTTTGCTGACGAGACAGATGTCACGGATGCCCATTCCATCCACTTTTGCCTCATCAAAGCAGACCTTTTTCTAAGAGAGACCGACAGCAGAAGCTACGAATGGCACACACAGCCTGCGGCGTCCCGGGTCAGTGGCACGGGGCTCTGCCTGGAAAGGGAGAGATGGGTAATCCCGGGCTCTGCTGGCTCCTAGCGTGCAGCTATGATTGGCCTGCCGATGTCTTCTGCTAACCTCTCCTGTGGCATATAATTATAACAGCATCCACGTAGACCTTGGTTCCCTACGAAACTCTGAATACTGAATAAATTTATGCAATTCCAGGGAAAACATTCTACAAGGACAAATCGACAAATGGAAACTGTGTTCTTGAAGAATCTCTATCAGTTTTAATCTACAAGAAGCTGTTTAGTTCCTGTTCAGAGCGCCAGCCTTGTGGCTGCAGGTTCCGCAGGTGAGGCTGGCTCTGTCTGGGGCTCCGCTGGAGCCGTCCTGCCTGGGGCTCACCGCTGCCGCGCTGTCTGGGCATCGGGCGAGAGTACGGACGCCTGCTCGGGTCTCCCCAGGCCCAGCATCAGCACGGCTTCCACAGTCCGACAGCCCTCGCTGGTGCCCCGGGACTCTGGGGAATCCGTTCCAGCTCAGCCAGGCATTCCTTCATCCATGTGCCAGTCACGCGCCCACACCTGTGTGCATCCCACACGGCTCATGTCACTGTCTGCTTGTTCTCCCTGGGACGAGTTAGCTCTCCATTCTATTTAGGATGACAATGAGAAGGCATCTGTATTGTATGAGGGATTTTTACGTGAACCTCACACCCTGCACCTTTACATTTTGCAAACCTCTGTTGCCTAATCATTCATTCTGCCAGCATTTCCTGGCCTTCAGGCTCGGCGGTGACCAGGGTGGGAGGGACCAGGCATGGAGCAAGTGAGGCAGAGCAGGTGAAACACTTTGGCCAGTCCTGGGGACACAGCTGGGAAAGGTGAGCTGGAGCCACCTGACCACCGGCAGGGCCATGGCCATGGAGCGTGGGCACCTGGGACTCCGTGGATTCCACGCTCTGTGCGAGCGAGCAGGAGAGGCCCACCACGCAGGGCAGCGACAGGGCCTGCTCTTGGGGCCTTGCTCCCGCGTGTCCCCGCCCTGCGGTCCCTGCCCAGTGCTGTCTCCCTTGCCGCCCCCCACTGCAGGGTCCCTGGGTCAGCACAGGTCTCTGCTTTTGCAGCGCAATCTTGCTGAGGGCTCTGGCCACGCCCTTCCAGGGCAGGTGGCTCTGTCCAGCTTCCCCACAGATCTCTGAGACCACACAGGCTGCTGACGCTTCCCGGGCACCTGGCGTGCAGCGGGTATGTGCATCTTGCCTGCTCTTGCGTTGCCCATGCATCCAGGCCTTGCCATCCCTACACGTGAAAGTGGGGCTCCATGCCCGCTTCTGAGCCAGAAACATCTGAGAAGGGACAGGTGCCGGGTTGGGCTGCAGGAAGTGCATCTGGGGGCCGTGACATCGCCTCTGAAAGCAGCACGTCCAGGCAGGTCAGCCACTGTGCCTCGGAGCACAGACGTCACACACATAAGCACACATGTGACACAGCTGCCCACGCGGGACTTCTTGCTGTTGCTTGATGAAGTGGGGGTTGGGGGAGGGAGCAGCTCTCAGTGTTGAGTGTCTCTGTGCCACACAGGGACACGGGGCCCAGGGAGCCCAGCTGGCTCAGTGCCTGCTCCTGTCCCGATGTCGCCGCCCAGACCCAGAGTCCACGCACGTGGTGGCGACCGCAGCAGCACAATAGAAATATGATGGCCTGGCCGGCGACCTTGCTCCATCTCAGTTCCTATCGCTGCCTTCAATCTGTTCTAAAAATAAGGGACTTGTCAGGCCTAACGATAAAGCAGAGTTTTAGGGAAATAGAGAGCCGCACTGACACACACATAATAACGTCAAGATCCAAATCACAGGGCCCTTCTGCCGCTTTCATTATCTTCCTCTGAGGATTACGCGGCCGCCGCCATGGGGCCTCGCCGAGACGCTGCCCACGCTTGCCCGTCTGCATGCAAAGTCACACGTGGACAGGCTCTGCCGACAGCCCACGGGCAGCCTGTGGGGCCGTCTGGGACACTGTGAACAATCTGCTGTATTAATCTGAATATTTGTGTATACACACACACACACGTATGTGTCTCCTTTAGGAAGACAAACTGACTCCAATTAGAGTAACAATGAATCAGATTAGAGGAGAAAGGAATTCCTAAGCAGATAAGAAAGCTTACGTACACTGTGATTAAACCATATGTCTGCACCCATCGTCTGTTCAGCGCCAGTGACCTCTGCAGATGTGCAGCCCTGCGGCTTCCCAGGCCCCGCCAGGGCCTCCCCCGCAGGGACCTGTGTGTTCCTGAGCTTGCGAGATGGAAACGCCTCCGTTCTCTGGGCACGGGAATTCCTTTCTAAAAGTCACTTGAGGTTTCCTCCTGGGACGCTTTCTCCCATCTTTTCTTACCCGATTACGTCTGTGGACCCTCGATCCGTTCAGCCCTTTGTATGAATCTGTGCCTTTCCTTGGTTGAGTCAGAGTTTGGCTATTCAGGAAGGCACCGGCCAAAACCACGAGCAGGCCTCACAGCCATAGGTGCAGACTCCCCTCAAGTTCAGGGCAGTCCCCCGGCTCCTGTGCTTCGGCCCAGGACAGTCAAACGTGAGGAGGTTGCTGGGGCAGCGCCCCTGCTGCTGGTGCACTTGGCAGACGCCATTTTCAAAAGATTGTCGCGAAGCTGAATCTCTCAGGATGCATTTAAACCCAATTACTTTCAGCAAAAATCGTCAAATAAATGGAAGTGTACGTGAAGCTTTGCTGGCCTACATGAATAATGGACGCTTGGTTTGAATTTTTTTTTAACCAGGACAAGAAAGTTTCAGTGTTATAGTGGGTCTAAATACTGAAGGAAATCTAACATCCACTAATGTACACACTCCTCTTTAAAAAGATTCCCTTCACTATTTAAACCTACTCCAGCCTACTGCTTGACCTGATTGTACTTTTACCATGAGGAATTATAGTGGGGCCATATGTGCGCCTTAATTATAACTACTATCCCTCACTACTTAGAGTTGCTGTATTGAAAAATACAGAAAACAGAATCTGCTGTACTGGGCATGGCTGTGTCTCTCTGTGGCTCTACAGGGATTTCCGACACATCGCACGCATGTGCACACACATGGATGCACACACTCACATGCCCTAAACATGGGACTGCGCCAGACCTGCTCTCCTCTGGGATGGCTGAAGTGCCTCCCGCCTGCCCTCTGCGTCCCGGGAAGTCACAAACGTCTCAAGCTGAATTATCGGAGCGGGCGCTGCGCTGAATGCTGCTGAACTCAGTCGCTCAGTATGCACGGCGTTCTCTCGTTCCTGGCTGGCACCAATTTGTTGTTTACTGATTTGTGCTAATTCAAACAGTTTATAATATGTCAGAATTTTTCCAGGGGTTATGGAAGGGATGCTTTGGGGAGGTTTGCACAGTCACTGATAATTAGTACGTGAGCCGCCCTTGGGTTGTTTGCTGTTTGTTTCTGCAAAGAGGAAACAGAAAACCAAACCAAACAAAGCAAAAACACCTGGGCATGTTTTTGAAAACCTCGCTATGTATACAAAAGCCACACACATTTATACACACACAAATGCACTCCCATGCATAAGCACACTCACGCACCTGCGTAACACAAAACATGCCTGTGCACACACTACCATGCACACTCACACACAAGTGGGATAATTTGTGCAACTCCAGACCGACAAAGTAAGACCAACAATTTTACATTGCACTGATTTCCAATTAAAGCATCTTTCCCACACGCATGTTAGCAAGTGCCCGGCTTGGCTCTGCGTGTTTCCTGCATCAGACTCTCCTCCCACTCCGAGCGGCCATCTCTCCCACTGGGTCTGGTTATGAAGCGTCACTGTGGGATTTCCTCGGGCTCCATCATATTAATTCACTAAATTAATAAGCACGCAGGCTCTGCCCGCAAGCCTGGTGGATGTGATAATTAACCGAGCGACGAGATGCTCCTGCTAAGCCAGACTGGGGAGGGGAGACGTGGGAAAGCGAAGGAAGAGACGCTCTGTGGCTCTCGGAGCGACAGCCGCCTGCTGTTGCTTTCAGTCTGGAAAGTGAACTTTAACTTAAGGGAGAAAAATAACTTTGATTTTGTGACACGCCCTTTTACTGAGATGTGATGCCTGCAGGTTTGTTATTGCAAGAAAACACTTAGTTCTCCCCCAGGGGGATGGTCACCCGCGTAGTGGAGACACGGGGAGGCTCCTGGCCTCTCACCTGACCATCCTGGTCTGCTGGCCCCGTGTGTGTCCTGTTTGCCATGTGTACACGTCCTGTATTTACCACATGTGTATCCTGTGTTTGCCGTGTGTGTCCTGATTTGTCTGTGTGGTCTGTGCCTGCCATGTGTCCTGCGTTTACCACATGTGTATCTATGTGTATCCTGCCGTGTGTGTTCTGTATTTGCTGTGTGTGCATGTTGTGTGTTTGCTATGTGTGTGTTGTGTGTGTGTTCTATTCTGGCTGTGTGTTCAATATTTCCTGTGTGTTCTGTTTGTCACATGTTCATGTTGTATGTGCTGGACATGTGTGTGTCCTTTGTTTGCCACACGTGTGTGCTCTGTATTTGCCATATGTGCATGTCCTATGTTGGCACCATGTGTGTCCTATGCTGATTATGTGTGCGTGGTCTTAATTTGTGTGGTCTGTGCTTGCCATGTGCCCTGTTTGCCACATGTGTGTGCTCTGTTTTTGACACGTGTGTGTTGAGTGCATGTTGTGTGTTTCCTATGTGTGTGCTGTGTGTGCATTCTATTCTAGCTGTGTGTGTGTTCAGTGCTTCCTCTGTGAGCATGTTCTGTGTTTGTCGCATGTTCATGTTGTATGTGCTGGACATGTGTGTGCCCTTTGTTTGCCACACGTGTGTGCTCTGTATCTGCCATATGTGCATGTCCTATGCTGGCACCATGTGTGTCCTATGCTGGTCGTGTGTGTGTGTGTCTCAATTTGTCTGTGTGGTCTGTGCCTGCCATGTGTCCTGTGTTCACCACATGTGTGTGCTCTGTGTTTGCACGTGTGTTGCGCGCATGTCCTGTGCTGGCACCATGCATGTGTCCTGTGTGTCCCGTGTTTGCCACGTGCGCATGTGCTGTGTCTGCTGCGCGTGTGCTGTGTGTTCCGCGCTGCTCACCCTCTCCCCGGGCTCAGCACGAAGGGGCCTCGGCACTGTACGCCGCCGGTGCAGGAACTCAGGGAGAGGCAGGCGCCAACGCCACGCCCCTCCCCCCGCGCTGTCGGCAGCCCCTCCCCCCGCGCTGTCCGCAGCCCCTCCCCCCGCGCTGTCCGCAGCCCCTCCCCCCGCGCTGTCGGCAGCCCCTCCCCCCGCGCTGTCGGCAGCCCCTCGGCAGCCCCGGCGCCCTCTGACGGGCGCTGATGGACGGACCAGGCTGAAGGCCCGCACCCGGCCCCTCCGGGCCTCGCTGCCCAGCAGACGTTCTGCTTTCATCCCCCGCTGGCCGTCGGTCAGAGCGGCTCGCAAAGACGCTTCTTACCTGGAGTGTGTCCACGGCCGCAGCTCCCCGGGCCTGCCGTTGGGGGTGCGGGATCCCCGCTGCGTGTCCCCCGCGGGCCGGCGGCAGACGCACAGCGCCTCGGCCAATGCGGGCCGGGAGAACTGGGTCAGCGCCCCGAGGGACCCGGGCAGGGAGGCCTGCGCGGGCGCACGAGGCGGGCCCTGGCGCTGACTGCTGAGGCGCATGCGCAGACACACGAAGCGGGCCCGGCTGCTGTGAGGGCTGAGGCGCATGTGCGGACGCATGAGGCAGGCCCAGCTGGATGAGGGCTGAGGCGCATGCGCGGACACACGAAGCGGGCCCGGCTGCTGTGAGGGCTGAGGCACCTGCGCAGATGTACGAGGCGGTTCCATGGCGCCAAGGGCTCAGACATTGTCCCTGGACGCACAAGGCGGGCCCATGGTGCCCAGGGCCGAAGCGCCATCAGCGGAAGCACAAGGTGGGCCCGGCTGCTGTGAGGGCTGAGGCGCATGCGCAGACGCACGAGGCGGCCCGGCTGCTCTGAGGGCTGAAGCGCATGCGCAGACGCACGAGGCGGCCCGGCTGCTCTGAGGGCTGAGGCGCATGCGCGGGCGCACGAGGCGGCCTGGCTGCTCTGAGGGCTGAGGCGCATGCGCGGGCGCACGAGGCGGGCCGGGCTCCGAGGGCTGAGGCGTCGTCCAGGGCGGAGCACGGGATCAGCCGCACAGCTGCAGCGCCATTCCGGGCGTCCTCACCCGCGTGTCCCGGGCCTCCTCACCCGCGTGTCCCGGGCCTAGAGCAGGTGCCGCCGACGTGAGGGAGGCGCGGGGGCGGGGCGCGGAGCGAGCGGGGGCGGCCGGCCCGCCATCTCCTGTCAGAGCGGGTAACGAGCGTCACCGTGGAAGCTGCCCGCTCGCTTCTGCCTTTGCGAGCCATCGCTGCTTCACTAATAATCGGGATTTATTGCCGGGCCCATCTGCTGTCTCCGGGAGGTCAGAGGTGAGCCACCGGCACGGCTGATGTCACCATCAAGGTGTCTGGGAGCAAATGGACCCTGACAAGTGCGCCTTTAAAGGAATATTGCAGCGGGAGCACCCTGGGCATGAAAGTCACGCTGCTAAGGAAAATAAACCTGCACCACTAAAGAGACGTCAAGTTTTAACCCGCGACTCCGAGTGACTGCCAGTGTCACCGTGCACAGCGCCGGAGGCCCGGCCTCCCTCGAATAGCTGCTCGGCCCCCAGCACCACTCCCAGAACATACGTGTGCACGGCAGGAGGGACGGCGGCTGGCGGCTGGCGGCCGGGTTTTGGGACCCCTCCTTGGTTGTGGCTGCCTGGGTGTCCACCCTGTAGGACAACGGCTGTGAGGCACGGGTCCCAGCATGAGGAAATGTGGGGAAACACTGCTTGACCTCTGCACTTACACGACAGCTCCTACAGCACTGGGTTAGCGTGGGCAGCGGGAGCGTGCACAGATACCGCTTCCTCCAGCCCTGAGGCTCCACGTGCATCCGTAAGCTGCCAGTTTCCACCACAGCAGCATTTTTCAGGTCTTCTGGATTCCCTGAGGTCCTCATGCATTGATGTTTGCACCAAACCCGGCTCCTTTTTTGAAGACTTTGATTTGGGCCAGCACTGTGGCATAGTAGGTTAAGCCTTGGCCATGACGTGACATCCCATATGAGCCGCCGGTTCTAGTTCCAGCTGCTCCACTTCTGATCCAGCATCCTTGCTGATGGCCTGGGAAAGCAGTGGAAGATGGCCCAAGTGCTGGGGTCCCTGCATCCACTGGGAGACCCAGAAGAAGCTCCTGGCTCCTGGCTTCAGATCTGCCCCGCTCTGGCCATGTGGCCATCTGGGGAGTGAACAGCACATGGAAGACCTCTCTTCTCTCTCCGTGTCTCCCTCTTAAGATTTACGTATTTATTTGAGAGGTAGAGTTACAGAAAGAGAGAATAAGAGACAGAGAGAGAAAGATCGTCCAGCAACTGGTTCACTCCCTAGAGAGTCCCAATGGCCACAACTGGGCCGGACCAAAGCAAGAAGTAAAGAGCTTCTTCTGGGTCTCCCACGTGGGTACAGGGACCCAAGCACTTAGGCCGTCTTCCAGTGCTTTCCCAGGCCGTTAGCAGGAAGCTGGATCTGAAGTGGAGCAGCTGGCATACGAACTGGCACCCATAAGGGATGCTGGTGTCACAGGCAGCAGCTTTACCCACTGTGCCACAACACGGGCCCCCCAAACGCCATTCTTCACAGAGTCCTTGTTTCACAATGTCACTGAACGCTGGCTTGTCTTTTTCTTGCCCTGTGTGACTTCCTGTTCTCTTGCTTCGCCCTGGACTCATACCAAGAAATATTTATCACGCGATTGATGGAATTTATTTCTGAGAGATGAAGGAGGTTGTTTTGCACTCCCCTTCTTCAGTGGCCGCACCCTGGACTTCTCCTCTCTCCCCGGCTCTGACCCCAGAAACACGCACAGCATTCGGGAACCTGCCAGGGCTTCAGGCCCCAACTTCCTGGGTGCAATCACTACCCCCCAAAGCCTGCAGGGTGTGAAGAGCCCCGATAAAAGACAGGTGCCAGTGTCCCCAACCTTGCATTTCCTCATGGGAGGGCAAGGAGGAAAGAAGATAAACCATTATACCTTACTGAATTATTTTCAGTAATCTCATTCATAGAAGTTAAAGTCATGTTAAATAAGCCATATTTGAAAAAAAGGCAAATGTGAAGTAAAGGTAAATTGTTGTGAGTTTAGTGTTAACTTGGAAATATCATGAGATGTTGCAATGAAATTAGCGCATTTATGTACAAGCACTGTGGAGGAAGGCATTGACACGTCCAGTTGAGTACAGTGGAGGATGCACAGCACGGTGTCTTGGTGTAAATACGCCTTGTGAAAGATCGCACACGAAGGCAGCTAACATCTTCGTTATCTCTGTGCGTGGCGAGGACACGTGGACTCTTCTCTCCGCAAACTTCAAGCTCACAGCGCAATGTTGCCCGTTGCTGACACCAGATCACCAGACCCAAGTCCCCAGAACTTGCCCCTCTCATAACTGAATATCCGTTCCCTTCAACACGATCACCTCCTGTCCCCAGCCCTGTTCCCTCCTTTTTGATGTAGGACCAAGGCCTTTCTTTGCAAAGTATCTGAATTCATTCGCTCCTAACTTGAGCATCAGTGCCCTCTCTGTTGCTTCCCCCTCTACTGAAAGCCGCTGGCTCAGCAGGAAGGTCTTCCCACCTCCAGAGCCCACAGGCCGCGGGCCTCAGGCCAGGCAGTGTGTGGAAAGCACGCATTCATCCCTGTGTGTTGGCCGAAAGGTGTCTGTCGGGGCTCCACCCCTCCAATCCTGATTTATTTGTGCGGTGACGTCATCCTCAGGCACTTGACAAAGTGACTTCATGACAGCGGCAGGTCATTATGTGAATGCCACATGTCATTACACAGCCGTCAGAGCTGGCCACACCACCGCTCAGCACCTTCGTTATGGCAAATGCACACGCATCATATTTTAACCTTTAACATTTTATTGTGGCTGCTAATATGTCCATAATCCAGCTACATGTGGAAGATGAGAAGAGCTTATGAAGGAACAAGCCCATAAATATCTGTGGGAAATGCAGCAAGTTACTTAAGATTTCTGGCGGCTTTTTCTTCTTTCCAGGTCTCATTATTCTGTCTCAAAGTTACCTTCCTGCTGGGGTCATTGCGTTGCTTATAGTACGGTTCTTCTGAACAAGTTCTCGTAACTGTGGTTTATCTGAACACATCTCTTGTTTCACCTTCATGTTTGGAATCAGTTTCCTTGGGTTGGCTTGTGTCTGCACCCATTGTCATTCAGGATTTGGGAGGTGGTGGGTGCTGGATGAGCCTCCCTGTCAGCATCAGTCAGACCGGTTGCACTTCTGTTATCAGCTGTTGCACGGCAGTGCAGCGGAGAAAGCAGGGACGTCACAGAGCGAACCAGGAGCAAAGCAACTTTGATGGGATGGGACTTCTGGCTGCAGCCTGGTGAGCCAGAGGCAAACACTGCCAGGTGAGTCCCCTGAAATGAGAAGGGAATCAGAAATCAGCATGGATGAAGGTGCCGGAATACACAGGGAGGACACAGAACACAGGGGCCTCTCGGTGTCACTGTAGGGTTCCCACAAACACCTGACTGAGAGGCTAGTGCTGCATATACACAACTGGGGCTGGACAGAGCAGCCCCCCTGGATTGGACAGAGCGGCAGACCTTGACCTCTGGTTTGGCCAGAGTGGAGGCAGCTCATTAACACCTGTAACCTCCAGGAGTACCCCAGGAGAGGTCAAGACTTAAGGATCACAATTCTTAGAGAAAGGCTTAGTTCTTTTCTACCCTAAATAGTTTGATGCCTCACAAAAGACCATTCTGAAAAACTAGAGGGGCTTGGGAAACCTCGGGCTTGTTACAGGTCTGCCCTGATCAACTATAAGACTGAACCTCCATGGGTTCATGAGGTTCAGGGGTACTTAAGCAAAAACAATGCAGAGAAATCAAACAGAATCTGGAGTCTAAAATGTACACATAATGTCTATCATCAAGTAAAAATGTACTAGTTATGAAAAGACCCAAAAAACGTGACCTGCACGCAAGGACAAAAACAAACAGGCAAACAAAAACAGGCCATAGGAAGTGACCCCCCGATGCTGGGCATCTATGCTGTTCTCTTGTATTTAATGACAGCCTCACTTTTTTCTATGAAAAAATCACCCATCTGTGTCATGTGTCCTTCAAGATAAGAGGGTCTCTGCTCTGTTTACCTTCATGATTACCTTTCTGACTTGGCATTTTAGCCATTTGCCTACTATGTTCCCATGTGTGGTCCTATTTTGTTGATACTGTGCGTGATTCGTTGAGTTCCTTGAATCTGTGGGTTTATGGCTTCAGCCAACTTAATGAAACTCAGCCATTGTCTCTTCCAGTAGCCTGTGTCTCCATCTGGAGTATGAGAATGCTGTGCTGTCCCACCATGCCTTGTGTGTGTTTCTAATACCACTGTCTCTCCATCTGGAGCTCCAGTACGTGCATGCTATGGTTTTCCCATCATGCCCTGTGTGTGTCTTAGACTCTTCTGTTCTTTCCATCCTTTTTAAAACTAAGGTCTGTGCTTCATTCTGTAAGTTTTCTATCCCCTTATCTTTAAGTACAGGCCACCGTTTTCTGCTATTTCATCTTAGAAACTCAATGGATCCATATTCTCTGCACTGTACATTTTTATTATTTGATTCTTTTATCAAAGTCCATTTTTCTGTATTTCTGTTGAAATTCTCCCTTTTCATCCATCTTCGTCTATCATTTTGTCTGTGCCAGCGACCTCCTTATTTTCAAGCACTTTGCTACTGAATGTTCTTGTCTTGTTTTGTTTGTATCAATTGCATTTTCTGAATCTCCACAGAAATCATTATTTTCATTGCACATTAAATACTGTGTATGGAATGTCCACAGTAGCTGGACCTGGTGTTATCTCCTCCAAGGAGGATCTCCCCGCAG